GACATGCTTCGTTGCTTGCGAAGAAGCGAGTGCGCTAGCGCGGCGTTCTTTCCCGCGGTCTCGCCGTGAGCAGAGTTAAGCCTAAAGACGACTTCGATGATGCGCAGCGCTTGTAGGCCGCGTGCCCGCACGTAGTAATCTGATCGTAAATCCGCTTACAGCTTCGTTGCTTGCGAAAAAGCACATCGTTCTTGCCAGCAGTCTCGCCATCAGCTGAGTTTGGCCTAAAGATGACTCCGATGCCGCGACGATAGTTACAGTGTGATAACAGAATGACGACAAAGAAACAAGAAGGACACGAGCGCTACGTGTCCTTCTTGTCTCTTTGTCATCGTTCTGTTCTCGCGCTACAACTATCGTCATGTCATACGAACTAGCCCAAGCTGCCACACTCCGATGACGCACCGTGCTCATGGACCACGTGCCCGCTACTAGTAATCTTATCGTGCATCCACTTACAGCTCCTAAATAAAGCGTAGTTATATTCTAAATGATCGTCGAGCTGTGAACACGTCCCGAAGTAGCAATTTTTGAGAGCCATATCCTCGTGACGCACAACAGCAGGCGACGATCTCCTTGAGCGAGCATCAGGTCATAGCCTCCTATATTTTTCTTGCCTGCCAAATGAGCGCGAAACGCTCGTCATTTATGGCGGTGCTATCTACGTAGGGGTAAGGATCTTTGTACTTGGCTTTTAAGATCAGCAATTTTGGCGTTTGCTAATTTCAGAGGCTATGCCTTGCGATAAAGGAGTTGCCTGCTGATTGAGCACAAAATGCCTGTAATCTATGGCGGCTTCACTTACGTAGGGCTAATTATAATTAGGTTTACGCTTTTTTAAAACATTTTTACGTTATTTTTGTGGCATATAAGCTCTAAAAGCGTTAAAACTAATTTAAAGACAATCGTACTTAAGTGGCGCCACTACTGCAGTTCCGACGACGACCACTTCCCAAGTGACAACTGATAATCCGGCAGACAAGGGAAATCTAGGAGGCTCTGATCGGGTTAATGGCGAGGCGAGCTCAGGCCACATGGCGGCCACAGCCAATCAGAGGCCTCGAAATGACCTTCAAACATTTGATTTTTGTGCGTTTGTTTTTAAAAGGAGGAACCAGCTGAGGCAGCACATTAAAAACTCGAAGAATTGCTTTTTCCAATCGGCGAAAAAAGCCAGCTCCCGGTCGTGCCATCGCGAAGCTATAATTTTTTTGAAAATCGCTGTTTTCTCGTGATTTTTCAGCAAAAAGTTTCGCTACCTAGGAGGGTGAAACGAATTTTCTAAAGCACTTCTGCATGGTTTTCAGTGTAGATATTTTGGAATCAAATAGAAAAAGGGTTCCAAAAACTGAAAACATGATTTTCAAAAAACATTTTTTTTTGCCATTTTTCGCGATACCAAAGCCACGTCCCCCCTTAATTGCTTCGAAGGGGGTGGAACCCTGCCGCGCCAATTCTGTGTCCTAGATACGTAACTGACTCCTCCCCTACCGGTGTTTGTTTGAGCCGAGTTGACGCCGTATTCCCCGAACCGCTGCAAGACTGCTTCAAGGTCCGCAGTTGGCTTATCGTTCGCATCTTTTATCAGGGCGTCATCCAAGTACACTTGAGCCCCTGGAAGGCCTCGTAGAACATGCTCAATGGTTCTTTGAAAGATCGCAGGGGCTGAGGCTATCCCAAATGGTAGCCTATTATAACAAAAGAGGCTCTTGTGAGTGCTTATAACTTCTAGCTTGCGCGACTTTTCATCTAGAAAAACTTGGTTGTAAGCCACAAGAGTGGAAGCTTGAGTTAGTTGGTGCGTAGTCATATTTGCAAGATGTTTCAGTGCGGGAACAAAAGAAAAAGGACAGGGTAGACAGAAAGAGTGCACAGCGCTCTTTCTGTCTACCCTGTCTTTTTTCCTTTGTTCGCGCACTGAAACATCTTGCAAATATGGTTGTAAGCATCACGTAGATCCAAAATGCTGAATTGCTGCCCTCCACGAAGCGTAGCAAAAATGTCATCCACTACGGGCACAGGATATCTCTCCATTTCACATACTGGGTTAAGAGTAACTTTGAAATCGCCACAGATGCGGACTCTTTCGTCACGTTTCCACACAGGCACCACTGGGTTTGCCCATTCTGAATAGGAAACTGGCGAAATAATGCCTACGACCACGAGCCGCTCCAGCTCGGCGGACAGTTTGTATAGCAAAACAAAAGGAATTTTCCTTGCCTTACAGAACCTTGGGGTAGCTCCGTCCTTTATATGAAGCCTTGCTGTGGTACCTTGATGGCTGCCATGCCTGCCGCAAAAAGGTCTGTGTACAGTTGCATCACGGGGTAGCTGCCGGACTCTCCAGCTTCCCGCCAGATGAGAGTGACGCGAAGTGAAGAAGCAGTGCCTCTAGTGTCTCGAGCATCTGCAACAGGTCACAGCCATAAAGGGCCTTTACTCGTGCCAAGTGACCTTGACACTCGTGCCAAGTGACCTTGACACCCACCTTTGTAGCACCTACGCCATTGTAATGCGCATTCCTAGGCTAGATGCGTCTGTTTTCCACAGCACCTGCGATAAGCTGTTCGGTTCTCTCCGGCTGATTGTGGCTTGTCTGTTATGCTGCACGCTGAACACCCTGATTGTGCCACCTTGCCCGTTCATCTGTTGAGACCCTACGCACTTTCGGCTGCCAGAGCTAACGCCTCTGCTTCTGCCATGTCAAGTCCTTTCTAACTAATAGTTGTTTGTGCAATTTTTTTTAGTGCACTCCACAAACGGTGCGATCCCTCAGCATTCGCTCTAACATTGAAGAGAAGTTGCAGTTATGATTCAACTTGCGAATTTTGATGATAAATGCCTGCACGCAGTTTCCTTGTTGGTTCCTGGGAAAGAACTTGAAACTTTTTGATATCTTGTTCGAGGATAGATCATAATGCTTCCTTCAAGGTTGAAACAATTTGATAGCTCAGTGAGCTCGGTTTTCGCGGTGGGATTCGGCCGCAAAGGATTTCAATGGTCCTCGATCCTAACGCTGCCACCAACAAGGCCCCTTTCTTCGCATCGTCAATTACTTCATTTGCTTCGAAGTGGCCATCAATCTTAACAAGATGCGCTTGCCACTTATCTGTCTCCTCCACAAAATGCGGAAGCTTGAGGACCATGGTCACAGGCAGGCAGATGGGTGTTGTCATCTCAATCTCGGGGCTGGCGCCCGGCTTAGGTGGATCAAAGGGTATTCTCATCGCCACTTTTATGTGGGCGAGGGAAATGCCGCTTTAGCAGTAGACGAAGCGGTCAGATCATGCCAACTGAAAAAGCCTGTAGTTTTTTTCGCACTCGTGAATATATAAGAAAGTAAAGCGTAGAGGGAAGGGGGCAAAAGATTGCCCAGTTGAAGATAGTGCACATGCGCACTTGAAAGCTAGGGTCAAGTCATTGAATGGGTTACCGGAACTTGGTTGTGGGATTGCTTGAAAAAGGTCTATTGACGTCATCGGGAAACTTGATCAGTCGCAACACATTTCCACTTGCTGGGATGCCTGGTTCTTTACTGTTTATGTGGTGTTGAAGCTTCTCCACAGCTCAATCGCTTGATTTTCAGAAGACAATGATTTGAAGCAAAACTGTGTTCCAAAACCCAGACACAAACTTGGCCCGATCTTTCTTCGATTTTCGATTCGATTTTTGAGAGCAGACTCGTACGCTATCTGGGAGAAGCAACACAATACACAAATAATGCGTTTAATTATGGGTATGCTGATCAACAGGTGGCATGACAATCTGCTCACTCCCGCTCTCACTGCTGAGTTAGAGAGCTCCACTTTTATTGAATTGAGTTCATTGACAACTAGGATGACCAGGCAAAAAAGCTGCATTGAGGAGCATGGTCCTATCCACTCCCATTGCCGAGTGAGTGAGCTCCACTTTTTATTGAATTGAGTTCATTGACAACAAAGATGACCAGGCGAAAAAGTTGCATTGAGCACCAAGGTCCTATCCGCTCCCATTGCCGAGTCTGTGAGCTCCACTTTTATATTGAATTGAGTTTATTGACAAGGATGACCATGCAAAAAGGCTGCATTGAGCACCATGGTCCTATACGCTTTCATTGCAAAGTGAGTGAGCTCCACTTTTTGTTGAATTGAGTTCATTGACAACAAGGATGACCAAACAAAAAGGCTGCATTGAGCACCATGGTCCTATACGCTTCCATTGCCGAGTGAGTGAGCTCCATTTTTTGTTGAATTGAGTTCATTGACAACAAGGATGACCAGGCAAAAAGGCTGCATTGAGCACCATGGTTCTGTCCACTCCCATTGCCGACAGTTATCCTACCTACTCAAATATCAGCATTACTGTCAGCCTTATATCAGTTTATGTTTGTACTATAGTCTATTCACGCATATCTTAATGCACTAGGACTCATGTGCCACCTTAATGTTTATTGATCTTTCAAGGAATGCTCTCGATAGAAACATCATTTTTGGGACAAATCTTTCCTAAAAATGTCTCTTCTGGATTGCAACCACTGATAACTCATATTTGAAGCTAGAAGATATAAAGGGGTATCGTAGAGCACCTAGAAGATATAAAGGGGTATCGTAGAGCACCGATTATGTGAAATATTGACGTTGAATATCATTGCACCATCGTCAGAAAATCTAATTTTATGCCGGTGGATTCATGAGTCACCTCGCCAGCCTCATTCAGATGCAAGGGAAGGTTTGAGTTTGGATCTCGGCAAATCTGGCTGAGCGATGTTAATGAGCTAGAGTCTCGTCGAGAAATGAGCTCTCTAGAATAATGCATCTTGAGCTAGTTTGATCTTCCAAAGGCAAAGGAGACACTGGAGAAGGACGGACAGAAGGAACGCACTGTTCTCGGTCCGTCCTCATCAGGTGCGCACTGTTTTTTTTTTCTCGGTATTTTGTGCAAAACGTGTTTCTTGAGTGAGTTCCAGTTTTTTGCCCACTTATGGCTATCAATCAGTGGGCGTGAATAAAGTGTTTGTGCAGGTGTGCTGCCCGACCGGGAGATGCGGCAGATGGTGCTAGACACGTTTGGCTTCCACAGTGAGGTGTTCAAGAAGCTTGCCCGCATGATGTACTGGATGCCCAAGTTCAAGCACATGAGCCCCTTCCCGCTGCCCAACCCTGTGCCTCGGGACCCCTATGAGCTGGCCCAGCTGGCCATCAGGCGCATGTGCGTCGACATTCAGAGCATCATTACCGTGCACAGGGTGGGTGGCGATATATGGTGGGCCGAGGGGGGAAAATTGACCAGCCAGAAATAGATATGCGCACATCTCAACAGGTGGCGGGAGCTGATTTTCTTTGGCACTGGGATACTATAGTTGCCTGGCCACTGATTGAAAGAACCACTTTTCTATGTCCTTTTATAAATAGACTGCAAAATACTAAAATAGCCTTCCTCATGATGTTGCCACCATTGCATGCATACCCATCAACATTGCTTTATCAAATGTGTTTGTATTTTTGAAGATGAAAACTTTTGGCAATAAAAATGTTAAGGGGAGATGCTACTCGAAGACACTTTTTTTTAAATATTCACCCTAGATCAATGAAACTTAAGCTGTTTATGGAACTTTTTATGCTGATTTCAAATATATAATTAGTTTTCTTGCAAGTTACACACTTTTAGCTCTGCAACATGACAAAGTAAAAACCTTAATCCTTTTGCCCCCCTCTTTTCATCCCTCATCTTCTGTAATTGTTTATCATTCATAGCTCATAATGCTTCAAATAAAGTGTAGAGTGCAAATAACTAATTAGGAAGGACATACAAAATATGTAATATGAGTGAAAACTAATAGACGTAAAAAGTCTATATTTCACCTACCCTAGTAAAGCTAGACATACAATTTTTTATTATAAAATAGAATATTGAAATTTAAACTAGATAATTGCATTTGTAATACTTTGGAAAATATTTGTGCAAAATTTCATGGATATTTGATCACTAGAAGTGCCCAAAAAAAAGGGGGCACATTGGAAAAAATGGCGAAATTTGTGTTTTGAGAAAAACGAGTTTTAAAGTTAAAATTGAGTTTTTATTTATAAAAGATAATAAATCAGATGAAATTTGCACACCAAAAAGAACAATCCTTCTTGTAGTGGCCACTGCGACTAAAATACGTCAGCTCCGTGAGTTTGTCCCTCTCAGCTTTTTCGAGCCAACTCCTCACAGCATTTCGCTCACAGACAGGGCCATGAAACGTTTGCCAAACTTTCGCTCCATCTGACAGAGCCTTGTGCCAACTGCAAGCTAGGAAGAAGTTCGACAGGACTGCAAATACCAAACTAAGTCCAGTGTCATGCCATTTTGCAGCTTGTGCCACATACTGTCGTACATAATGGCAATGTCGTCCCTGCTAAGTTCTCTCACTGCGAGCTCTTTCGACCTCTCAAGATTGGCGCTGACGTCATCCATTGCCGCATCAAGAACTTTCCGGCTGACGGGTGTGAATGACTTTTAATGCATTGGCTTTTGCAAGCCAACAAAGGCCGCAAATCGGATCAGCTGCTCTTAGCCTATTCCTACGGAGCGTGTTGCACAACGGCTTTCACTTGCAAGCGATGCTTTTTTTTCATTCATAGCGGAGATAATTACACGAGAAAAGCATTGTTCAGCTGCGCTGCTCGACAAGACATGGACCCCACAAATAGGTTTCCCAGCACATACAGGTGCGCAGCAGCCAATGGAAGTCGCTGCTTCGTACCATGTGATAAGCCAGTCGCGGCGTTCAGAAAAAATGCAGAAGAGTGCTTCTTTTTATTATTTCTTGCGCTGCATCAGCGAGGGAAACTGTTGGTATTTGAAGAGTGAGGCTCGAATCTTTGACTCATGCGATGAACTATGGCGCATTATCAGCGGCAAGGTGCTCGAAGACTGCACACTTTCGACTTTTAATAGGCACCTTGTGCTCTTTAGATGCAATTTTAAAGCATTTCCAGTTAGGTCTCGACCTGTATTATTTTTTTCATAACAGTAGAGGTACTAATCTTATCAAAAGAGGCAAAAATTAAAAATCGGTAATTTTGAAAAAAAAAAAATGCATTTTTCGACCCGCATCTCCCCTTAATATTGTAATGTACAAGAACCACTCACTCGAACACAATCCAACACAACTCTGTCTTCCTCGTTCTCTTTTTCTGGTCTACCGCTCACGTGCCGGTCACCCCATTGCTATTATCCACTACATTCGCCGCCCCCTCTTCCCTGGAGTCTGAGTAAGAAGACGAAGAGACATGAATATGGAAATCACGCGGCACATAAAGTTTCAACTGGCTCGCATGGGCAGGAAAAACACGGTTTCCGCTTTTGGTGCCCAGTTCGGGAATAACTTCCAGGCGAAACGTAACAGCGCCTAGGGCTTTCACCACCATACTGGGGAAAAAACTTCTGGCAACGATGCGGAACACGCTGGGTGCGTCGAACCAGCACTAGGTCTTCTGGTTTGAAAGGGGTGTGGTTCTCGTTGGGAGGCGAGCGGAATTTCGCATGACGATGCGCTATGGTCAGGTTCGCTCTAAAGAGAGCCTTTCGAAGAAGCTCCGAAGTACTTGTGTAATCCAGACGGTTTTGCTTTGTTGTGTTCAAACCAAAGAAGCTCACTGGCGGAAGCCTTGAAGTCTTTCCATAGATAAGCCTGAACGGTGACTCCCGTGTGATTTCCTGCTGTGACGTATTCAAGGCAAAGACAGCTGCGGCGACGTATTCGTCCCAGTTGTTATGACTGGGACTCACGTATGTCCTTTATGGTACGGTTTGTACGTTCCACCAGACCGTTTGTTTGTGGGTGCTGAGAAGTGGCCGCAGCATGCCGAATTCCATGTTCGCTCAGTAGGTTTCTAAATGCGTGGGATGTGAAAGCCGTGTTATGGTCAGTGATGCGCAAGTGTGGCGTGCCGTGTCGAAAATTACCGGCGTGTGGGGTGACCGGCGCCTGACCGCTTACGCGCCGGTCACCCCATTGCTATCATCCACTACAATATGCTAACTTGCCTCTTACATAAGAGCCCTTCATGGGTCTTTTAAGAAAATAATGTGATTTGGTGCAAAAAGAAAGAGCAGTTCACCTCTGCCCACTTTAGAAGTGTGCTTCTGTTTTTTTTTAACCAAAAATAATCATAAGCCAGTGTTCCATATCTTTTATTAAAGGTTCTTTACCATTGAGTAAAGTTGACGTGAGAGGTGCTTGGGGATGTAGCTCAGCAGGAGTGAAGATTCGACAGGTGACATTGAATGATTATGAACAAACTGCATTACATTTTCATTTGATAAATTGCAAGTAGAAAGATTGTAATTAGCAATTTACGGCGGATGCAACCAACAGGCCCTCACTCGCCTACGTCTCGTTTGCAAGGAAGTACACAGCACTTAGCTGTGTCGTTCTACCACACCGTGATAACAGCCCAAACTGTCCATGGGTGTTTCGTCATGCGGTGTTTACATTCGAAAAACACATGGCAGGAGGGGGGCATAAAGAAAGCGGAGTAACAGAGGGAACAGTATGGCCGAACATGGATGGCGCTATGCCTTCCTGTGCTGCTGATGACGGGTCCCCAACTGACCTTTGACCTCATATTTACTTTTGATGACGGGTCCCCAACCGACCTTTGACCTCATATGAGCCAAAGGTCATAACCGACCTTTGGCTCATATTTGATCGCCGGCTAGAGGCTTCCGTATTCCTGCATGTGCAGTGTCAAGTGCGCTGCTATTTGCTGTGGGAGGGGAGGGGAGTTCAGCTCATTCTGTGCCAGGAAGGCCTTTGTTACCGGAGACGAGCACTGGGCCTCGCGTAAGTGTTTATTCACCCGACTCTCGAGCAAGAGCCACTTCTCGTTGGTACCAGGTATTCCAAGACAGTAACGGTCTATGGCATAACTTACGCTTTATCAGGTCTCCAAGAAAAGGTTAGTCTCTGCGAGGCTGAGCTTGTCTGCATGGAACGCGCCTACGCATTGCTGTAAATAAAGGTCAACAACCTAGAAAACAGAAGCAGGCGATCGAATATAATTGTGTATGGTATACCTGAAGTTGATGAAGAGACAAGTGAAAGTCTTGAACAAACAGTAAATAGGACTATTGTTCAGGACACCCTTGATCTAGAACGGTCGGCTGCTGACCCGCAGGTCGCGGAATCGAATTCCGACTGCGGCGGCTGCATTTCCTATGGAGGTGGAAATGTTGTAGGCCCGTGTGCTCAGATTTGGGTGCACGTTAAAGAACCTCACGTGGTCGAAATTTCCGGAGCCCTCCATTACGACGTCTCTCATAATCATATGGTGGTTTCGGGACGTTAAACCCCACATATCATCATAATTGACCTAGAACGGGTTGCTATCAAACAAATACATTGTCTAGGACGAGCAGAAGAAAACAGATGTAGACCAGTCATTTTCAAGTGGCTCCATTTTAGGCAATAATCATCTATGCTTAAAAGCCGATGCAAACTGACTTCTCAGTCGGGGAAAATTTTTCGCTTAAAATTCGAGACATTAGATGAAAGCTATCAAACTGTGCCAAAAATCAAGAAAAGAAGAAGAAGGTGCCCCTAGTGTTTGACTAGTTGTGTATTTTTTAATAACCAAGCCTTTATATAGGATAAAGAAAAGAATGACTATGTTTTCATCCAAAAAAAAATATGATGAGGTGCCATTAAGGCTACACACAGTCAAGCTCGTCTGCACACAAGATCCAAGGCCTGACCATAATGAATGTTTATGCAAGAAGTGTTCTTAAAGTACTATGAATAGATTATGAAATAATAAGCATATTTAATGCAGGCAAAAGATGAAGTGCCCGATGCAGTGGACGACACATGGGTCGTGAGTGGCCAGTCACCACAACAGCAGGAACTCATCGAGCTACATCCGACAGACAAGCCAATCCGCATTGAAGGCCCATTCTCTATATATCTCCGCAGTAGCGCCATCTCCTACTTCCTGTTGCGAGCCGAGCCAACACCAATCCGAGTGGTTGAGATAGACTCTGATGGTGAGTGGACACTGTTCTGAAGTTTTGGTTGTCCCTGCATTAGCGAAATTTCAAAGTTTTTTGCGTTGATTTCAAAGATAGAACTGCTTCACTATTCTTAAGGGGAGATGCGGGTCGAAAAACCGCAATTTTTTTCGAAAAAGTCGATTTTGTGTTTTCTTGCGTTTTGTATTTCTCCAAGCCTTCTCCTTAATATAATAAAAAATCAAAGCTGAGAATAAGCTAGAAGTTATCAAAAAATACATTTGAAGCACTCGCGGTGGCTCGTGAAAGTGCGAAGTTGCCCGATTTTCATGCATGCAGCACTTCGCTCTACGGCATCGCCGGCTCTTGAAATTTCGCGGGCGTGTAGGCCTAACCCTCTTCTCCCAGAGCCCACTTCGGCAAAGCGGCATTCACGCTAAAAATACAACAAAAAATCGCTTTACCACTGCATTCTAGCGTGGCGACTGGGCCTTCAAAGTCACGTGGTATGATCGGAGCCCTGCCATTGGTTGCGAGCATTCCACCGCGCAGTCGGATGCGAGCGCTTTCTTCGTTCTCCTGCGTTTGCCGTGACATCGACGAACACAACCGTCGGAGTTATTATTTCCGCGTCATGGATGCCGGCGAGAAACGCTACTTTCGTTCACGGAAGTTCATTACGCGGCACCAGTACGAGGGAGGCACCCAAACGCAAGCTGTGAGTGCCGGCGAGAGGTCCGTCTGTTGGTAGGCCTAGCCGCGGCAGCAGCGACGCACTCGATTTGGATTGTTCGAGCTTTATTTGTACCATTGATGACTTCGTCAGCGTTTCAGAGTGAAAGATAAAGATGTTCGCAAGTGTCAGGACGAATGCGGAAGCACATTTATTTGTGAGAGCCGTGCGATGCAGAACCTCGTCAGTGGCATAGTATCCTCCACTGCGGGCGGTGCGAGCTGTCTATTTGAGTAATGGCAAGTAGACGATAAGGACTGGCATCACTTTCGGAACTTTAGCGCCGAAATGACGCATGTGCTGCAACTGTTCTTTCGTCTACGTATGCGTCAAGCTGCGTGTATCCGTCATGCAGTGGAAGCGAGGAGACGTCCGCCAGCGGCAGTGCACGGGACAGCTTCGCTGTGAGCGTGAAGTTAGTGGTCGCACCGTGTGCGATCGGCGTCGGGCACGAGCAGCTTGTGCAGGTTTCGTGCAATCATTGGTATTAAAAAAACGGTGCGTCACAAGAACTGCCATTCGCAAAAAAAAAAGTGCATACCGCCGCCGAAACCTCGAATGAGCCCGAGAGCAATGGCCCATTGCCACAGTACCGAAAAAAAAAAAAATTTACCGTCGGGAGGAGACAGCTTGCAGAGACTGTAAGGGTCCAATATATAGTGCTAGATTATTCTGAAACTGTCAACTTTTTCAAGATAGCTTTACCGACATTCTCTGTAAATTTCATTCATATTGGTTGAAGAGTACAGTATTAAACATGTTTTTGAACTTTCAGACCGCTTTTTCTCAGCTCCTCATTTTTCGGCGTTTTTAGAGCTTGTGCACTATAATTTGTGCGCTTTACGTAATCGGATTGCAATGAAACTTGGCATACTTAAAGTTTAACATGTCCTGAATTCAAATAAACAACCTTCAAAGGTCTCCAAAGCATATTCAGCTGGATAATTTCAAAAGCTTGTTCCTTGAGTATGGTAAAACTCAAATTCAGCATTAGAATTTTATTTAGGCCAGCACACAAATGTTACACAATGTTTCTTTGCTTTATTGAATTCTGCAATTCTTTAGGAGCAACATTGGCTATTTTTTAGAGCTTTCTTGGGCTTACTATTGTTATCTAAGCATGCACAAAAATGCATTGTTTCTACAAATGCATGCCCTGCAAGAAATTAACTAAATGAGCCATGAAAAAAATAAAAGCAGATTTGAAAAGAGGAGCTCCAACTCTATAACTGGTGAAAGTTTCATTGAACTGTCACAAATATCTGAAGAAAAAGTTTTTCGAGGAGCATCTCCCCTTAATGTCCTGATATCACAGAAACTGCTTTTGAGTGGGTTACTGGAAAATAAAAGGGAGACGGCTTGCAACGCTCGGAAGTGCTTTTTGAGTGTGATCGTTATGTGCTTTGTAGCATTTGAAATTTGACGTTGCAAACATGGCTACTTGATGCTCTAGAACACCTAGAACAGAGGCACGTTCTCTTATGAAGCTCTCATTACTGCCAAGGGGTGGTTCCCCATCTCAAGAGGTTTCCCATTAGACAAGCGATCATACAGCTTGCAAATATGTTGGCAAGGCGTATTCGTCATCCACTCGCAAACTCAAATGCTTTTTTCGAATCTGAACTGAAATTCACATTCCCTCATTTCCATAGAAAAGTAGAAAAAAAGTATGTTTGCAGTGTATGATGCAAGGGTGGAAGCACTTGCTCAGTTCGACCTAGTTTTCGAGTTAGTAATGCTAAGCTTTTGCTAATGGTGCTCAGTATGGCTAGGCTTGGCTATTCTTTTCCATGTATTAGTTCCCCACACATTACATGGCTTTAGTGGAAAGATGCCACGTGGCGGGCTATTACGCGTTCTGATTTTAGTTCCTTGGACCTGCTGTTATACGATTCTCGGCAGGAATATGTCACACGACTTATTGTTACATGTCGTGTGATTCTGGTCATATGAATAACTGGTACGTAGTTTCTTGCAGGGACACGTCACGTGACTAGCTGTTACATTATTTTAGTCATGTGACTACATGCTACGTGATGTGGTTTGTTACGCCATATCTAGATATGTGGCTAGTTGCAGCGTGAGGTGATTCTGTTGCGCGAGCACGGGCATAAGAGGGAAGTTGGGACACCACGAATTCTTGCTGAAGGTGCGTCTGAATAGAGAGAAGGCTTCCCATGCAAACCTATCAGTCTTGCACGTGTGAAAGATAACTGTGAAGGTATTCGATTTCATCTTTGTGTAAGTTAATCATGGGAGCACAAAATGAGCTTTAGTGCACATCACATTTAGGCGTACAGTGAAATCTCGATAGAATGAACTCCACAATAATGAACTTTTCAGATTAACATAGTTTTAAACATTCCCACGCCGACTGCTAATAGTTTCAATGTAAAATTATTTCACTACTGCGTACTTCAGAATACCAAACTTTTCAGAATAACGAACGTTAATTTAGCTCCACATTATATTACCAACGCCTCAGTTCTATGAACTTATCGTCTGAAATCCGTCGCGACCACCGGAGCGGTGTGCAAGCAAACGACAAAGCGGACACCTTGCTTCTCAACAGACGCGCGACGATGGGGAGGAAAAAAAACGACGAAAGGGGGACTTTCTTTTTTTTGTTGTTGAAACACCGACGCTGCAGGTTTAAAAACGAGCGCAGAGGCGAGGGCAACACGGGAGGGCAAAGTCAGCAAGGTAGAGAGGGAGTTGCGGAGCAGGATATGGGCGCGGAAAACCTGAGACAGCGAGAGCAAAAAATGAAACGCGAGAAAAATTTTTTTTTCGCACTTTCTTTATTTGAAAGAGGCGATAGCAGCTGTGACGCTTCAAGTTTTTCTTCGGAGGCCTTGTTTTTTCAGTTGTTTTCATCTCTTTTCGGTGATTACTTATCGGGTTCGCAAAGCAAGTCGGCGTTCGCGCTGCCGTAATACTTCAAATAAGTTCATCTCTGCTTGCGACGAAGAAGCGGAAGCAGTTTTCGCTAAGTGAGACAATGCATATTCTTGGGCAACTGGAAGGCAAAAAGCAGGCTGTTTTGACCAAAAAACCAAATCGCACCACAGGAAGGTGGATGAGCTGGAGGCCTTCGTGCTGCAAAGTTTGCGCTGCTTGCGTCAAAAAAAAAAAAAATAAAAAAAAAATCACAGACTTTTTCAAAGTAAACGTTCATTTTTTGGTGTTTACTTGTGTATTTTTTTTTCTCATGAAAAACGAGTTCAAGGACCCATCATTGTAAAGGTAAGTTGTTTTGCTTAGTGAAAAATAAGTATTCATGTTTAATTTTTGAGCATTCACTATAACGACCTTTCAAAATAACGAACAAATTTCTTTGGTCCCCTGAAGTTCGTTATACCGAGATGTCACTGTACTAGGTTATACAGTCGAACCTCGCGACAAGGAAACTGACGGGGCACAGAAAAAATTTCGTTGAAGCGAAAGTTTTGTTGTAGTGAAATGGAAAAAATATAGCTCATCTGAGCTAGCAAAAGGAAGAAACGTTTATTCTCAAAATTCAAAAAGTTTCCGCAGCTTCCTATTCTTTCCCAGCAGCGGCACGACAGGATTTTCAGTCATGCTTAGCGAGTCCATGGTGAAAAGCACGCTGAAACTATGCCTACAACCAATTTTGTGAACAAACCAAACAGTTGTATTAACACGTTAACATCAGCAGCTGTCCGCCGTCAAAGTGTATACGACAACGCCGAGATGTGCGCAGGGTATCGTGGAGCGGTGACTTCTGCCTTATTCTTATCATCCATCACTCACGGCTAGCTTACTTTGTTGATATGCAATGCAGACGAACAGCCGCTCTGATTAGTTACCGCTCTGGCCAAGCGCGAACAAAATGATAAGCAATGGCATCGGAAAAGGCATCCTTTCGCGGATACACCCAGCAGCTGCATGAAGGAAACCATAAACTGAGTGACTGAGCTTCAGCTTCTGACCATCTGTGGCTCAAGAGCAAGCCAGTGGTAAAAGCAGGGCAGTCTCATTGCCATCGCTATCGAGCATTGGTGGCGCCCATTCTTGCTAAACAGAGGTGGTTTCTGGTGGTGCCGACGAGCGTTTTATGCTTCGTCGACATATTTTCAGGTTCTGAAAATGCATCAAAATTTAAATATTGTTTTTAATGTATAGCAATAAATATCCGAGCCTGGAGTTGCATTGTGAAATTTCGTTGAAGCGGGACGGCAGAAAAAAACGTGTTCGTTGTGGCGACAATTTTTCTGCATTGACTCCTATGGACCGCTGATGGGGAACCGTGAATTTTTCGTTGTAGCGGAAATTTCGTTGA